GGGGGGCGGGGGGTCACCTGCCTCTTTGCGCAGCGCTGGACCGATGCGTCCCCCATAAAAACGCGGGCGGTCCCCCGCGGAGAGCTGTGGCCGATGGAATTCCCAAGGCTTCTTTCGAAATTTTGGACGTGAATTTACCTTCCCATGATTATAGAGGAGACGAGAGATGACGGTATCCGGGGAGAGATTCTTGCAACTACACTGAGGTTCAGGATTTCACATTTACTGGGGTTGCATTTAAAATTTTTATTCTTGATTTTTAAAATACTTTCAGACACATTTTGTAAGTGAATCAGTGGGTGAGCTGGATAGACAGGGGGTCTTTTAGGGGATGAAGGAGCCAGGTCAGAAGTGCCTGTATTTTAAGTGTCCCCAAATTTGGAAAGCATGGAAAGACTCAATAAAGATAAACCAGACGGTTGGCCCATCCTCAGAGACTCTGATTGATTAGGTCCTGCCAGGTGGGGCCTGAGCATTTGCATTTCTCACCTAGTTCCCGGGTGGTGATGGTGCTGTTTATGGAGGGACAGAGTGTGGACTACAGAGCTCAAACTAATTTCTATTGGTAGTGAATTCGTGTACCCCGAATTATCTCACATTTATAGAATTACAAAATGAAACCTTAAGGAGTTCAGACCCACAGTTCCCCCACTTAAATATTTTGTCTGATAGCAGGGAGCACCAGAGAACTGGTTTCTAATGGTCATTTATCTTCAAGATCATGGGCAGGGCTTAGCATGCTGTTGATCTCACTGGGTGCAGAGGCCCCGTCACACTAGTGCTCAGGGGTCGGTGACAGGGACTCCCTCTTAGGCTGTGTCTCGGCTGAGAAGTCATCATCCCATCAAGGTAGTTTGCACGACTTTTTTTCTGAGAGGCATCACCTTCTCCACACCAGAGCGCACCTGCCACCTGTCTGTAGGAGCTTCGTTCAGGTCATTGTTCCTTGTGGGGAGAGGCACTACTAGTGCATGAAACTGAGCCACGAGGGTGTCTCTAAAATCAAGAAAGACATAGTGGAGCTGGAGAAATTCCAGAGAAGACTACTAGAAAAAAAACAATAAAGAAATCATGTGTTTTCCTTACCTGCCTTTAGCGAGCCATAGGATGAGTCCTTTAAAGACGGCTTTCCACCTGCCCCTCCTGGTCATCCTCACTGCGGTCCCACAAGTTATGGTTTGGTCACCTCCCCCCCAGAGGCAATAGTAATGGTCTCCGACTGGCCTTTTTATCTCGGTCTCTTCTAACACCAAGTACTGTTCAGGTGAACTTAATGCAATGATGGGAATGTTTTATGTCTGTGACGTCCAGTATGGCAGCCCCTGGCACATGTGGCTGTCGAGCACTTCAAATGTAGCTAGTGTGAGTGAGGAACTGAATTTTTTGTTTTATTTTATTTTAATTAAGTTAAATTTAAATAGCCACAGGTAGCCAGCGGCTACTGTCCTGGCCTGCACAGCTCTAGACCATACCATTGACACACTCGTCTTCCCAAAGCGTGTCTCTGTGTACATTCTACATTTGCTCAAACCCTTTAAATAGCTAAAAAGTCCAGCCCGGCTGGGCGTGGCTCAGCGGTTGAGCGTCAACCTAGGATCCAGGTGATCGGGGTTCGATTCCCGGTCAGGGCACATGCCTGGGTTGCAGGCTCGATCAATGACTCTCTCATCATTGATGTTTCTATCTCTCTCCCTCTCCTTTCCTCTCTCTGAAATCAACAAAAGATATATATATATATTTAAAAAAAGAAAATGGATCTTTACACTTTCTTCTAAAATAAATAAATAAATAATAAATAAATAAATAATAAATTAATAAATAAATTAATTAATTAATTAAATAGCTAAAAAGTCCAGGTCGAACCCAGCATTCAAGACCCTCTAACAATAGGCCTCAACCTACTTTCTGGGGCTTAACATGGACTTTACTAAGATCTATTGAGTTCTTGCCTTATTACCTTATTACCTCTGAAATTTAGCCTGTCCAATTCCTAAAATACCCTGTTCTCCTCCCTGCCCCCAGTTTGGACAGAGCAGAGCTGAAATCGTATCTCCTCCCAGAGGACTTCCCTGTCCCTCTGGGTTGGGATTATTAATTCCACTCTGGAGGAGATTACATGGTAATAGGATGTGGTATCTATTTTGGAATCAGAAAAACCGAAGTCAGATTCCAGCTCTCCTATCTAATTATTGTAGGACTCTGAGGAAATCACTGAATTCATCAGTAAAGTGAATATAATAGTGAACAGGAAAACAGTACCTATCTCTTGAGATGATGTGTGGAGAACCTGGCCCATGGCAGGGAGCAATAAGCGCTAATTCCTGTATTTCTCGCCTCTAAACTCTTACAGCCCTATATTTTGCTATTTTTATTCTAATAAGCTGTAGAGGTTTTGTATCCCCGGAGCACCTAACACTCAGCAAATGTCTCTGGAACACGAAATTAATTACCGCAAGTGGAACAGCATTCTTTAGTGGGAAACAAAGACCAAGAGTACATGTGGGAGGAATATATAAAATTGTGAAAATGAAAGCAGGCAAATTTACCAAATCCTAGTCTGGTAGATGAGAACCACTTCTTGAAATATAAATGATGTAGAATGAAGACACTGAAATGAAATACTACTTTCCAAAAGTGAACTACGGGTATTGATACCTCCATAGGGTACAACAACAGAAAATATAAATACTTCGGCTTTGGAAGAGAGGGAAATTCTTGGGGGATAAACTATCTTTGTGATGGGAGGAGATGTGGATTTTTTGTGTCTTCAGTAACAAGGCCCCGGGTGTGGAAGCCACACGTGGCTGGTCCACAGGCTGAATCCAGCCTGCAGAGGTGTCCTGTTCGATGTGAACTATGTTTTTTAAAATACATAAAGTAATTGACAGCATTTAAAAGTCAGAAGATTTCACGTAAAATCTGGAATTATGGCTTCTCTTGGAAATAATCAGATCCGGCCATGCTGGGCCCAGCATGACCCATGACAGTTGCTGGCGCTGAGTAGCTGCGGCCGCCTCCTCCAGTCCCACTGTTCCCACTGTCCTTGATGTTCATACATTGCCTGCTTCTCGCCAACGGCCTTAGGGCCACTTTCGGGAACAAAAATGCTAGATTTTAGACCCTGGATCCAACCCAGGATGGCAGCTACTATAATCTCAATATAATTAGTAGGTCAATTAGGTTCTTTTAGTTGCCAGGAACAGATATATTCTAGTAATGGCTCTTTATTGAAAGATTACATGAAAAGTGTAGAAATACAATAGCTAACTGTAGCCCAATTACTTAACTTTTCTAAAGCCTCCGTTTTATCACCTATAAAACAGGGATAACAGTAATACCAGGATTATTGTGAGAATTAAATGGGGAAAAAAAAAACTCATGAAAAAAATTTAATGCAATGCTTGTCATATATTAAGAGCTCTGTAAATGTTGGCGATGGTAATGCACAGTCATTCTGAAGGAAAACGAAGTTGATGATGCATTAAACTTGTTTTCAGCCTCGCCTATTAAAGACCTATTTGTGTAATCTACATACTTTGTGTCTACCTGTATATTTTTTAGCTATAATATATATGTACATATATATGCTTTTTTACATTTATGTGGAAGACGTTTAGAGTTTATGCCCTTTTTATTATTCAAAAACACAGACGATCAAGAACGGTTATACTTCCTTGCAGAGGCGGGTCTGTATGCATCCTCATTAGTTCCTCCCTCTCATTGTCTTGAAAGAGCAAGACCATACAGAGTTTTAAATCGTCACGTGGCCCTTAGAGATCATGTGGTCCAACTGTGTCATTTTATGGGCAAGGAAAGTGAAACTTATTTTTTAGGAAACGTGCCCCCAATCAGACAGCCAGTTAGGAAAACAGCGAGGGCTGGAACCCCAGTGTCCTGAGGCCCTGTGCAGTGTTTTTCTGCTACACCACGATGCCACTAACTGGATACGACTACATAGTTATTTAAGAAATATTTGTTGAGGGTCTGCTAAATGTCAGGCACTCTTCTGGGCCCTGAGAATACAGCCATGAGCAGTCAAAGTCCTGCCTGTTAGGCTTACGTTTTCGTGTGGGAGACAGTGGTCAAGCAGACGAGCAATTGCAACGAAGAGCGGGAATGGGTAGGGGGTAATGCTGGGTGCACTGTTCCCGCGGGGGAGTTAGAAGACACAGCATTGACTGGCCACTTAACCCTCAGCATCTGTACTGAAAATTGGTGGTTGTACTGACTTGTGTCTCATAATCATTTCTCCACAACGTAATTGAATATAAAGAAAACTAGGCTTCCTAGCAGGATACCTGGGTCCTAGTCCTGACTCTATTTAACAGCCAAGTCCGTTTAAACTTCTGGGTTTTGGTTTCTCCAAAATGAGACTGAGTCTCACCTTGCACTCTTTATAGGGTGGTTTTGAGTATAAAATTGTAAAACACGGGAGTAAGGTTTATGATACTGCAATGTGTTATGCAAATGTGTTATGCAGAGGTATCATTATTTTATTAAAAGGGGTCTAGATTTTTTAAAATTGTTTTTTGTTTTATCTGTTTCCATCCACCCAGGAACGATGCAACCGGAGAGGAGCGTTCAAGGTGATGACTCTAGATGTAGGGAAAATTCTTACACGTACGATGTTAAGCGAGATGTGTACAACGAGGAGACCTTTCAACAGGAACACAGAAGGAAGTCTGGCTCCTCCGGGAACTTCGACGTTGACATCACCACGTTCAGACACCACGTCCAGTGCAGGTGCGTGTGTGTGGCCCTGTCCCTGCGACCAGGCTGGCAGCACATAACCCTATTCGACTCCTTTTGGTGCCTATTTCTGTTTTCTTCCTCTGAATTCCTGTCACCGGAACCCTCGGCTTACTGCATGATTGCTCTTCGGTTTGAGTGAGTGCGCGCGTGTGTGTGCACGTGCTTTGTCTTGTAGCACCTTCTTGATTGTAAACTTCTTGAGCACAGAGACCTTGGATGTCCCCCACAGCCTCTAGGGATGATGTTTAATAAATGCATTGCATTACCAGTCTGTTCACAACAACAAACAGCAACCACGGTGGACGAATTAATGACAGAGAATGACGTCCTTCTAGTCTCACACCCAGCCGTGCCCGCCCAGGACTTGGGGTCACCAACACGGGCCCACCTCCTGTGATACTCACTGTGACTGTAGCTCCTACAGCCTAGGGGCTCCTAACCTGGTTTTGTGCTGTGAAACTTTTACTAATCTGGTAAAGTCTATGATTCTGCCAAAAAAAAATTTTAACTTTTTCTCTTGTGACCAAAAACACCATATAAGTTAGCTGTTTTAACCATTTTTAAGTGTACAGATGGGCATTAATGACATTCACAATATTGTGTAACCATCACCACTATTTGTTTCCAAAACTTTTCATCACCTTAAACAGAAACTCGGTACCCATGAAGCAATAACTTCCCACTTTCCCCTTCCGCCAGCCCCCGGTAACCTCTCTTCCACTTTCTGTCTCTGTGAATTGCCTATTCTATATATTTCATTTAAGTGGAACCACATAATATTTGTCTGTCATGTCAAGGCGCATCCATGTTGTAGCATGAATCAGCGCTTCATTTTATGGCTAATGATATTCCATGACATGTACACAGCGCATTTGGTTTATCCAGCCAGCTGTGGGTGGACACCTGGGCTGTTTCTACTTTTTGGCTGTTGTGAGAGATGCTGCCATGAATATTGGCATAGGGGTATCCGTTGAGCCCCTGTTTTCAATACTTTTAGGTATATACCTGGGAGCAGCGTTGTTGGATCATGGGGTAATTCTGCGTTTAACTCTTTGAGGAACTGCCAAACGTTTTTACAGCAGCTACACCGTTGTACATTCACCCCAGCGATGTAGAAATGTTCCGATTTCTCCACATCCTCTCCAACATTTGCGATTTACCAATTTTTTTGATTATAGAGATCCTAGGAGGTGTGACGTGGTATCTCACTGTGGGTTTCGTTTGTCCGCCTGTCTGTGTTTCCATTTCGTCATAACTAAATGGGACGAACATCTATTCCTGTGCTTACCGATCGTTTGTGTATCTTCTTTGGAGAAATGGCCATTTACTTCCTTTGCCCTTTTTAAAATCAGGTTGTTTTTCTTTTGTTGCTGAGTTGTAGGAGTTCTTTATGTGTCCTGAATATTAAAACCTTATCGGATGTATAATTTGCAATTTTTTTCCTCCCATTCTGTAGGTTGTCTTTGTACTTTGTTGATAGTGTCCTTTGGTGCACAACAGTTTTTAATTTTCATGGAATCCAATGTATCTATTCTTTTCTTCTGTTGCCTGTGACTTTGGTGTCGTATTTAAGAAACCTGTGAAATCCAAGATCATGAGACTTTTCCCATGTTTTCTTCTAGGAATTTTATAGCTTCAGCTCTTAAATCTAGACTCTTGATCTGTTAATTTTGAGCTAATTTTGCATGGTGTAAAGTAAGGGCCCGACTCCGTTCCTTGTTATGTGGATATCCCATTTTCGCAGCACCGTTTGTTGAAGAGACTGTTCTTTCCCCATTGAATTGTCTTAGCCAGAATTTTTTTAAATGCATAAGATACATAAAATTATGAAGGAAACCAGTTTTATTGAAATATAGTTTATCAAAATATGAAAAAATCCTCAAATTATGTTATTTAATAATGTCTACCTAGTAACTACCATCATTTCAAAGTAGCGATGAATATAAATGATATTTTAATATACCTGCAGCAATTTTAATGTAATATGAAAATGTTTCTGATTTCTGTTTGTGACAAAGTCAAGCTCTGCTGATACTACTCTGGTTCGTTGTGAACATTCATAATGGAAAGAAATGCTCAGTTTCAGTTAGGAGGTCAGTGAAAACAAAGATATAATTTTTTCTAAATTCGCATGCCCCCATGAATTCTATCTAGAGACTTAGGGGGTTCACAGGCCTATGGTTAAGAACCCTTTGTGACCTACGTCACGATGTCAACCCTAATTACCCAAGCTGTGCTCACTCACACTCTGGGTTGGTCACCCACAACGGGAATGGGTTGGGTGACACGTGAGGGAGGCCTCCGCACAGCCCTGTTGCAGACTTCTTCCTCTCGGAGGCATTCTCCTTTGTCTGTATCCTGCCTTTTGCAAGCTGTGGTCTCGGATGTCCCTCCCATTCTTACAGCTGTGGTCTTGGATGTCCCTCCCATTCTTACAGCTGTGGTCTCGGATGTCCCTCCCATTCTTACACCACTGCTCTCATTTTCTCTGCTCCAGGGTGGGTCAGACTATGTTGAAGAGGGCAGGTGGGGGCCACTTTGGCTTTGACTCTATAAGAGGATAGCCTTTTCCTGATTTATCCCTCATCATAAACCGGTACTAACACTCCTCCCCCTGCCCAAACCTTAGACACTTAAATCTGACCTGGTCTGCCCCCCGCCCGTGAGCTTTTATAGCAGTTCTTAATCCCTACTTCTAAAACACAGTTATATCCACTTCTGCATTTTAACCTGAAAGGCACTGTGGTTGAGAGCAACACTCAGAAGCCAGGTTGCCTGGTTTTGCATCCCAACTGAATCTGCGACTTCCCAACTGTGTGACCTTACGTAAGCAATCCAACCCTACGGTGCCTCAGTTTCCTCACGTGTAAAATGGCGATGGTAATGGCACCTACATCATGAGGTGACTGTGAGGATTTATCCATTTTTCTTATTAAAGTATTGTCGGTGTACAATATTATATTTGTTTCAGGCGTACAACATAGTGATTTGACATTTAAATACTTTACAAAGTGAGCGCCGCACTGAGTCCCCAGGTAAAATCACCACGGTGTTATCGGCTATATTCCCCTTTGCCTTTTCACCCGCCCCTCTAACCACCTCCCCTCTGGCAACATCGGTTTGTCTCTGTTTCTGTGAGTCTGTTTTTGTGTCTTGTTTGTTTGTTTATGTTTGTTGTTGTTTTTAGATTCTACATATAAGTGAAATCGTGTGGTATTTGCCTTTCTCTGCCTGACTTATTTCACTTAGCGTAATACCATGTTGTCACAAACGGCGGGATTTCATACTTTTTTATAGCTGAGTAATATTCCATTGCATCACATCTTTAGCCTTTCATCTGTCGCTGGACACCTAGGTTGTGTCCATCTTGGCTATTGTAAATAATGCTGCAGCAAACATACGATTTCATATATCTTTTCAATTTGTTTATTTGTTTGTTTGTTTTCTTTAGAAAAATACCAGGAAGTGGAATTGCTGGGTCATATGGTAGTTCTATTTTTAGTTTTTTGAGGAACGTCCCTACTGTTTCCATAGTGGCTGCACCAATTTATAGTTCTACTAACAGTGCACAGGATTCTCTCTTCTCCACATCCCCACCGACACTCGTTATCTGTTGACTTTCTTACAATATCTATTCTAACTGTTACGAGGGAGCCTCTCACTGTGGTTTTGACTTGCGTTTCCCTGATGATTAGTGATGTTGAGCATCCTTTCATATGTCTGTTGGTCATCTATGTCTTATTTGGAGAAATGTCTATTCATGTCCTCTGTCCATTTTTTTAAAAAAATCATCACCTGAGGATGTGCTTTCATTGATTTTAGAAGAGATGAAAGGGGAGGGGGGGAGAGAGAGAGAGAGAGAGGGAAGGAGAGAGAGAGGAAGAAGCATCCATGTGAGAGAGCAAAGATCGATGGAAACATTGATCGGTTGCCTCCTGTACACACCCCGACCGGGGATCAAACCCACAACCCAGATATGTGCCCTGACTGGGAATCAAACCAGTGGCCCTTTGTTGCACAGGACAATGCTCCAACCAACTGAGCCACACCAGCCAGGACTCCTCTGTCCAGTTTTTGATCAATTGTTTATTTTTTGTTACTGAGTTGTATGAGTTCCTCATACATTTTGGATATTAACCCCTTAGCAGATACGTCATTTGTGAATATCTTCTCCCACTCAGTAGGTTGTCTTCTTTTTGTTGATGGTTTCCTTTGTGGTACAGAGGCTTTTTAGTTTGATGTAGTCCCGTTTGTTTTTTTCTTTTGTTGTGTTTGCCCAAGGGGATACATCCAAAAAGATATTACTAAGACAGATTTCAAATAGTTTATTACAGTAAATCCTCAATTTTGCGCACCTCAATTTAACAGACTTTGGATTTAAAGGACAAAATTTCCAGTCCGTATGTAAAAATTAACACCCTGTTAATTTTTAAATGCTTTTAACCAACATTTGCTATAATTAAATTAACAGGTTATTTTTGTTATTAATTCACTGTAATTTTTAACAAATTTTAGCAAATAGGCCATATGTTGGACACAACACTGTAGTAATTTTGCTGACATAAATAAATATGACATGCCTACAACTATAGTCTACATATTTAAATCCAAGAGTCACGGCTCGTAAACAGTGTTCAGCAAATGATTAGCATGTGATCACACTGCATCTAATGTAGTAATTGGTTCTGTTGTCAGATGGCATAACTTTCTGTAGCAATTTTAATGCTTGCCCGCTGATGTTCCCATGTGCGCTAAGCCACGCCCCAGCCGTGTGCACTTGTTTATGACTGGTGACTGGTGAATGCACACACTTACTAGACCAATTCAGTATAAATTTAAAATTACTAATACAGCCTGGCCGTTTTACAGTGTGGCTCAATAGCGGAGCATTGACCTATGCACCAAGAGGTCACTGGTTTGATTTCCGGTCATGGCACATGCCAGCGTTGTGGGCTTGGTCCTCAATAAGGGGCGTACAGGAAGCAACTCAT